AAGGTCTTTTTAATCTACAAGCTATGTAACCTAAAATTCGTCAAAATAATCTTTCTACAATATAATTTACCTCAAACTTGGTAGCAAAACAAACTCATACACTCCTAAATAATGAAAAATCCATAATTATCGCAATACTTTTAATTAGTTTTTACGACACGAAAACGAGCTTACGTTATATTTTTTCACGATCTAATACACAAACAATCACGAAGTTCTCAAAACACGCGCCATATAAGCCACGCCTCCCCCAACTTCCATCAAACCACCACTCTAACTAAGACATCAATTTAAAACTCTCCGTCGAGTTTCAAATTCAAACATCGCTGATGCTCCTCCAAAAATGCATCCCTCGACATAAAACTCCCGGAACAATTCCGGACGCGATTCCGCTTTCTGGAACTCGAATGAAACATGAAGATTTCCAACCGCAACCCGAACCATAAGCCGATCAATTGACCGTTCGGAACGATTTTCCGATATGGGGTGAGTTAAGGGGTTGCTTGTTGGCAGACTTTCTTCTTCGGAGGCAGCCGCAGCCGGCTCGATTTTCAGCAATTAAGGCAATTAGAAGAGAGGGAATTCCTGGGTTATATCGCAAACTCTATTATAGGAGAGATTATGGAAATCTAGTGAGAATATCGTCGAAAGGAGGGAGTGGATCTAAAAATACGTAAATCTAAAAACGGGATTAGACGAGTAGTTTATGAAATCCTAGACAGGGAGATTTAAGGGCGAACTTTCGTTATTCCCGTCTCGACTTTTCCGTTTTGACGGACTCCCCGACTTACGTGATTGTTTTCGCATTTATATTCATAGCATTTATCCTGAATGCAGCTCCATGAAGGAGAACAGGACACGAGTCTGAATGCGCCGTCTGAAGGAAATTAAGCTTTTACAATGTGTGTCTCTCGCGTGTTCTAAATTCACACACGAGTCAATTCAGACCGTTCTGTTTTCCTTGAGCGTCAGTGTATATAATGCAGTTCAATTTTCCGGTATCTGGCGGAATCCTGTTTGGTTTTGTTCTGTCTCGCTGTTTCAGGCGATGCACCAATGCGAAGGCATTCTGCAATTAGAGCTCGTTCTTGTTATACACCATGCAGATTAAAGAGAGGATGTTTGAAGAAAGGAAAAGTTCAAACAATGGTGGCTTTGAAAAATGAGAAATAAGTAGGGTAACTTGGGACTTTATGGCCTCGCCTGTTGTAGAGGGCTTCTAAGAGATTTTTCAGTTCAGTTTTACTCAATCGATGCGGGGGAATTTTTAACAGAGGATCTTTGAAACACGATGCTCAAACTTCGGAAGATTGTTTAAATTTTATCCGACTTTTTTTGTGCGTGTTGGTAGCATGTTTGTTGTCTGAGTCATCCGAGACGATTTTTTTGTAACGAGTTAAAAGGAAGTGCTTTTTAGATAGTTTCCCCGAAGAAACTGAGACCATCAAAAAAATTAAAATACTTTTTTAAACGAGTAAAAATTAAAAATGCCACGCCATATTTAATATAGCGAATGACTTTTCTCATTAATTTCATCAATTAGGCGAAAAATGTTTGAATAATTATAAGTATCTTAAAAACAAAATTAATAAACTATGCAAACAATTAAAACAATCATGACTTTGTAAAAAAAGTGATTTTTATTTACAGATTAAAAACAGAGTGAGAGAAAATAACACATTCATGGCATGCCACAAAAGAGAGAATACGAAAATAAAGGTTCCCTACTACCGTATTCTTGTTTGTTTTCTTCCTTTTTTCTATCTAACACATAATTTTCTGAATTATGTTGTATATTATTTTGTGTTAATGGTAGAAGCTAAGCGAAAATCGTGAGTTATTCCCTGCAAGAAATCGATGACGTCATCTCAAAATCATGTTAGAGAAATATACGCTGTTGTGTACTATGGTGTTCTTGTTTTCAAAATTAATTCTTAACATATATTAATTAGTGTTAGATTGTACACATGACCATCAGTACATTCATATCCCCCAAAAAAATTATGACGTCATTATATAAATGTGCTCCGAAAGAAAAATAAATTTCAAAAAATCGTACTATTTTTTTAATTATCTAAACAGCATCAAGTAGAAAGTGATTATGCAAATTTTGGACTATTGATAATTTAAATCGTTTAATTCTCGAGTGTAAGGAAGTATTATAATCGGGTCCATCTGACGAACAGCTACTTTTATGTTTTCTCAACGTTCCATGACCGCTGGAATAGAAAAAAAAATAGGTATTCCATTTCCGTTTGTTTTTATTAGACAGATAATCTCCAAATCTATATACTTGTATATTAGAAATCGTCTAGATGGGAAAACGTTAACCAAAATTTGCCTAATCATCACCACCATATTTTGATGACATCCCCTTTATCTTTATCCTATACTTGTTGTTTATGAATCTGCCTTGAGATTTTCCCCGAGGCGAAGAGAATTATCTAAATTTTTTATTGATCAAATCTCAACAACGGTACACGCCAAGGTTTTATATTAGTATTACGTTGAACGTGTTGAAATAGACATACATGTCACTAGAAATACAAGCAAAGCCTGGTCTTTTATTAATTCAGTCATATTTTTTAATCAATTATGGATCCGTTTCCTATCATGGCTGGACGACAAGCGCATTCCAGACCAAATAGAAACAAGTTAACAGAGTATGTTTTCGTAAGATACTGCATTCGAATCATAGACAGTAGCGACGTATGGGTGATTAAACTGTGATACATTAATGAATAGAACAAAATAAGCTCTAGAACAATTTAAAAGATATATATTTATATAAAGGGTGTCAAAATACATTTTTAGGGTATCATTTAGCTTCTTGAACTGCTACTAGTATTATCTATATTTGTTTTCATGCATAGAGGTGGCAAAATCATGTGTTTTTTCCTCAAATCGAACAAATCTCAAGAATGGTGGATTTCAGTGTTTTATTATTAGCATTACACTGCATGTGCCAGAATTGACATACATGTCCTTGCTAAATTTGTCTAGTTATTCTCCCCCAAAAAATTGATGACTTCATGTCAAAATTTTGTAGGATAAATCTTATTTATGTAAAATATGCAAAATACAATGAGTCTGTACTTGTGATTTATCATTGCATTCATATTTTTTACAATTGCTTAAACAAGGTGACTCAAAAAAAAATAATGATTCGGTCAATTTATTTTATAGATTAAATCACGAATGGTTTATTTCATTTTCGTGAAAATTTGGAAATACATTAGTTATTATTAGTATTACAATGCACTTAACCAAAGTGATGTGCGCGTGTTCTTAAAAAAATGTTGATTGATAACGTCATCACAAAATTTTGTAATGGAAGAAGTCACTTGAAACATACAGGTTGCATGCTTCTTTACCTTTACTTTGAGATTACAGACAAACCTTTATTTTAACTTATAGGAGTTAAATAAAACAAAATAAAATAATTAAATTAACTTTATTAATTTTCAAAAAAAACTTTTCTCTTTTTTCATATTGTTTGCAGAGAAACTCAAAATTAAACAAAAACTTCACTTGTTACACATTTGAATCTAATTAATTTCGCCAGTTTCAAGAATAAAGTTGTGGAAATGATCACGTGTGTTACACACAAGACTTTTTCTTCAACAAGAGTTTACATTCGTTAGAGTAATACATAGTTAAAACAATCAATGGTTTGAAGATATATAATTATTCAGTGTTGGTTTAAACCAAGAACTGCAAGAATGATAAGAAAAAACTGTTGTGTTTTTTTTTTGTATTTTTGATCAACACAACTAAGTGTTCATTTAGAATAGAAAATTTGACGATTACTCTCCAGAAAATCGAAAGTAATCACGAAACGCGAAACTGACATGTTTATTAAAGAAGCTGATGAGAAATATTAATAACCAAGGTAAAGAGGCCATAAAAATCCATTTTATTAAATTCTAAGCTTTCAGGCATAAATTATTTGCATTCGAGACGGTAGAAAACGTTTATATGAGGAACTGTTTATCTTCGATGAACGATATTCAAAGACCGTTGGAAAAAACTAGTTAAATTAAAAACGAAAAAATTGAGAGTGAAATTTTAAGCACACAAGGTACTCACTTTGAAAAATTTCGAGTTGAAATTAAAATTATATTGTACAATTAACTTCATGTTGTAAATAAATAACAATAACAATACAATGTAATGTAACACAAGTCGCGTTTCCTTAAAATCGTCTCAGTTTTCGTAACAGACTATTGATCAGCACAAAATAACACAACGTGTTTCCAATTTACGTATCGCTTACGGTTTCCAAGATCACAATAGTGCGAAAAAATAGGAGCACTACTGTGTAAACGTGTCAATAAATGTCATTGAACGAAATCGAATTTCACAAGAAAATTAATTTTTCGTTTTGAAAATCAGTAATTGAATGTCAACTTCTCATAACAAGCGTGGAATGAATAAACATTTGGCAGAACTAAGTCAACACATATTTTTTTCCACACTGGGTCGGAATTTGCGTTACTATCTCACTTACAAACTGTGTTCTATGTTGGAGATAGGTTAACGATAAAAATAACAACCAAGTCAGTTGATTCTGCAACATAATTAAATAATGACAGTCGGTAGAAAAACCATGAATGCGACAAGGAAGGTAGTTGTTTTTTTTTAGGAAACTGATTCTTTCTGTGAATGTAAAGAAGGTGTCTGTTTTGTAAATACGTCGTAACAATCGCATTTTCGAGGGCCTGCGTCCAAACAAAAATGCAAAGCAGATTCGGCGTAAAGCCCGAATTTTAATCAATTTCCAGTGAAAAGCCCGTTCAACACAGAACTGTGCCCCTATAGAATTAGCTTTTTCTGCTTGTAAGAGAAACTCTTGAAAAGAATCCTGCGAGCCTCCAGTCCCCAACCTATCCTTCCCGACCTGGCTCGTGACTTCCGACTCCGCGTAAATTCGCCCGAACCCGTCCAAAACTCGCATTAAATTTTCCCTCTATTCTCATTCCGCCGACTTCCCTACTCACCGGTCATCGTACACGAATCCGGCGTCCAGCGTGTTGTAATACAGCAGGAAGGCGAGCAGGCAGCAGAGCGAGCTGACATAATCCATGCTGGGGGTCAGCACATCTCTCGATGGGCGAAGATACCGTGACTTGTTGCGTCTACCCTCCTGCTAATCTCGAAGCGCTCAAATATGTTAGATCATTTGCGCCGGCTGCACATCACCGGCAAAAAGCGCGCTTTTTGCCCAAGAGTTCGTCTGCGTCTAGAGCGGGCGGGCGAGGGCTAGGTTGGCGCCCATGGTGCACGCGCCCACGCGGTCGGTACCTGTGGAGTTCACCTGGAGGACAAGACGGAACTGCGAGCCGCGGATCACACACACCACCGTTATATAGTCGGCACGAGCATTGCGCGAATACTGATGATCGACCCTCGGTGTGGGACACCCTACACGCCCCGCACAGGCGCGCGCACGCCCGTGGACGCACAGGTGGCACCGGAGCCACCGGAGTCGCACCAGAGGACCGCGAAGGGACGTGGACGCCGGAGCGGATGCGGCCGCCGACCGCCACTGGGACACCGGGTAGCAGTAAAAAGGCCGTGACGTCATTTCCGAGAGGCGATCGCCGATCAAACAAACATCAAACGGAAAAATTGAGACAATTTGGACAGCTGCTGCATATCAAGGGCTTTTTTCACACTTGCTTAAACGGTCCCTTTGTACCTTTTAGTGTGGAGGGTTTTGACTGAAGTTTGTCTTCTTCACTTTTGTCTTCATTTATTTAACTTCGGTTTTCCATTCTCTTGCTATCCCTTCAAGCCTCTTTCAGTCGTCTTTTCTTAAATCAAATTCAAGCGAATTAAATCGAATTAAACCGAACAAAACAGAATTAAATCAAGTCAAATTAAATCAAATTCAATCGAATTAAAGTAACTAAAAATTACACTATGTTCCGTTAATTCTTTTAGGACAATGACCATTCAATTTAAATGACGAAGATTTTAGAAATCGACGTTGAATACGTTCAATTCACATTGTAAATAATATGGTCACCATATGACCGCAGCGTTTTCGAATTCGCAGACCACAAAACAAAAATAAAACGATTTCATTTTTTCAGGGCTGGAGTTTTAAAATGTGTAGAAATAAGTGTTACAATTCACGGAGATTTTGGGGCTGCTGATAAAGTTTTATTCAGAAAAGATTAGCTGTATGATATTTTAAAACGGTTTTGATTATTATTAATGTTATACGAGTAAGTGTAAACCAAATAAAAGCAACACTTAATTGTATGAAAAAATAGACTCCTATTATTTTCTACACATCGTGTGTAAATTTAAGTTCACTTGAATAAAGCTTACACAGAAGCGGATGGGACTATCTGGAAATCGGGAATTTTTCAGAGGCGATGATGCCCCAATCCAAATTTGTTAATGCTTTTAATTGAAGTAAAATTTCACCCTTTCAACTTAGTTACTTCAAAAACTAGACACATGGGGTCCTCGAGATTATTTTTAATTACTTCAAAAACCAGGTACAAGGGGTCCCCGAGAACTATTTCAAAAACAAAAGAGTTCCCCGAAATTCTTTCAAACTTCTTCAAAAATCAAGCACAAGTGGTCCCCAAGATTCTGTCAAACTACTTCAAAAACAAAACACACGGGGTTCGAGAGATTCTTTCAAACTATGTACTTCAAAGACAAAAAAAATGTCCCCGAATTTCTTTCAAACTACCTCAAAACAAAACACCAGGGGTCCCCGAGATTTTTTCAAACTACTTCATAAACCAAGCATAAAAGGGGCGAGATTCTTTCAACTACTTCAAAAACAAAACACGAGGGGTCCCCGAAATTCTTTCAAACTTCTTCAAAAATCAAGCACAAGTGGTCCCCAAGATTCTGTCAAACTACTTCAAAAACAAAACACACGGGGTCCCAGAGATTCTTTCAAACTATGTACATCAAAAACAAAACAAAAAATGTCCCCGAAATGCTTTCACACTACCTCAAAACAATAGGGGTCCCCGAAATTTTTACAAACTGCTTTATAGACCAGACACAAGAGGTCCTCGAGATTCTTTCAAGCTACTTCAAAACAAAAAACAAGGGCCCCGATTATTTCAAATTACTTCAAAAATCAGGCACAAAAGGTCCCCGAAAATCTTTCAAATTACATGTGTACCTCAGAAACAAAACACAGGGGTCTCCGAGATTTTTTCAAATTACTTCAAAATTCAAGCACAAAGTGTCCCAGAGATTCTTTCAGACTACATACTTCATAAACCAGGCATCAAAGGCCCGAGATTCTTCCAACTACTTCAAAAACAACACAAGGAATCCCCGAGAGTTTTTCAAACTATTTCAAAAACTAGACACAAAAGCTCGAGACTCTTTCAAATTACTTCAAAACAAAACACAAGGAACACTGATTATTTCAAACTATGTACTTCAAAAACCGGATGCAAAAGGTCCCCGAGAATTTTTAGACTACTTCAAAAACAAAAGGACCTCAATTCTTTCAAACTATTTCAAAAAGAAAATGAAAGGTACCTGAAATTCTTCCGAAATACTTCAAAAACAAAATAAAAGGGATCCCCGAGATTTTTTCAAACTACTTCATAAATCACGCATAAAAGGCCCCGAGATTCTTTCAACTACTTCAAAACAAAACACAAGAAACCCCGACTCATTCAAACCACTTCAAAAACCGGACACAAAAGGTCCCCGAGAATCTTTCAAGCTATTTCAAAAAGCAGACACAAGAGGTCCGCGAAGTTTTTTTAGACTACTTCAAAAACAAAAGTAGCTAAATTCTTCCAAACTACTTCAAAAAGGAAATAAAAGGAACCTAAAATTCTTTCGAAATACTTCAATAACCATAAACAAGAAATTCCCAACATTCTTTCAAACTACTTTAAAAACAAGGCAAATGGGACCCCAGAAGGGGCTCCCCGAGTTTCTTTCAAATCACACACTTGAAAAACTACTTCAAAAACCAGACACAAGATGTCCCGGAGATTCTTTCAAACAACTTCATAAACTTTTCATAAAAGGCCCGGGATTCTTTCAAATTAAGTACTTCAAAACAAAAGACAAGGGACCTCGATTCTTTCAAATTACTTCAAAAACCAGACATAAGAAGTCCCCGATTTTATTTCAAACTACTTCAAAAACAAGGCAAAAGAAGTCCTCAAGATCCTTTCATATTGCTCCCAAAACAAGGCTCACGGGGGGTCCACGAGATTCTTTCAAATTACAGACTTCAAAAACCAAACAAAGGCGTTTCCGAGATTTTTTCGAACTACTTCAAAAACCAGGCACAAAGTGTCCCGGAGATTCTTGCAAACTACTTCATAAACCAGGCATAAAAGACCCGAGATTCTTTCAACTTCTTCAAAAACAAAACACAAGGAGTCCCCGAAATTCATTGAAATTACTTCAAAAACCAGACACAAGAGGTCTCCGAAATTTTTTTAGACTACTTTAAAGACAAAAGGACCTAAAGTCTTTCAACCTATTTCAAAAAGGAAATAATAGGTACCTGAAATTCTTCCGAAATACTTCAAAAACCAGACACAAAGTATTCCTCACATTCTTTCAAACTACTTCATAAACAAAATAAAAGGAGTTCCCGAGATTTTTTCAAACTACTTCATAAACCACGCATAAAAGACCCCGAGATTCTTTCAACTACTTCAAAAACCAGACACAAGATGTCCTCTAGATTCTTTCAAACTATTTCAAAACAAAACACAAGAAACCCCGATTCTTTCAAACTACTTCAAAAACCGGACACAAAAGTTCCCCGAGAATCTTTCAAGATATTTCAAAAACCAGACAATTTTTTTTAGACTACTTCAAAAACAAAAGGACCTAAATTCTTTCAAACTACTTCAAAAAGGAAATAAAAGGTACCTGAAATTCTTTCGAAATATTTCATTAACCAGACACAAGAGATTCCCAACATTCTTTCAAAACTATTTTAAGAACAAGGCAAATGGAGTCCCGGAGATTCTCTCAACTACTTCATAAACTTTTCATAAAAGGCCGGGGATTCTTTCAAACTACTTCAAAAACCAGGCACAAAAGTCCCCAAGAATCTTTCAAATTATTCCAAAACCAGACATAAGAGGTCCCCCAGTTTCTTTCAAACTACTTCAAAAACAAGACAAAAGAGGTCCCCGAGATCCTTTCATATTGCTTCCAAAACAAGGCTCACGTGGGGTCCACGAGATTCTTCCAAATTACATACTTCAAAAACAAAACGAAGGGGTTTCCTAGATTTTTTCGAACTACTTCAAAAACCAGGCACAAAGTGTCCCGGAGATTCTTGCAAACTACTTCATAAACCAGGCATAAAAGGCTCGAACTTCTTTCAACTTCTTCAAAAACAAAACACAAGGAGTCCCCGAAATTCTTTTTCAACTTCTTCAAAAACAAAACAGAAGCAGTCCCCGAGATTCTTTGAAACTACTTCAAAACTAGACACAAGAGATCCCCGAGATTTTTTTAGATTACTTCAACAACAAAAGGACCAAAATTCGTTTCGTTCAAACTACTTCAAAAAGAAAGTAAAAGCTACCCGAAATTCTTTCGAAATACTTCAAAAACCAGACACAAGAGATGCCCAAGATTCTTTCAAACTACTTACTTCAAAGACAAGGCCGGAGAGGTCCCCAAAATTTTTTCCAACTACTTCAAAAACCAGACACAAGAGGTTCCCGAGATTTTTTCAAACTGCCTCAAGAACAATACACAGTAAGGTCCCCAAAATAGGTTAAAATTACTTCAAAGACAAGACATCATGAGCAGGGACGAATTCGGCCATCTGGAAATCAGGACTTTTCCACAGGCGCCAGTTGCTGTTTTTATAAACCTCTTTAAATGAAGTAAAATTTCGGCCTAAATTTTTCCCGATTTGGTTCACCAGATCCCATCCGCCCCTGGCCTCATTTCATCAAGATTGGCAAAAGAATAATAAATTTACAATTCCAAGTTTAACGCCTGTGAGTGACCTTAGTAAGTTCCCAATAACCACGATAAAAAGAAGAGGTTCCAGTTGGAACCTTGCGGTACACCTAATGTTGAAACATATTCCTGCGACATATTTCCTGCTATAATTCTATTATTTAAGTCTCCATCTAGTTCTCAATTTCTTTATAAAATGTCTTTTTTTATACCTGGCCCTAGGGATTTCAGTGCTAAAATTTTGATCCTGTTAATAGGTTTTCTAACAAGAGGTTTCCAGTGAGATTTGGCAGAATATTAAACTGATATTTTATAAATCAATTGCAGCTCATTTTATCGCACAGAACAAAGTAATTATGGAGTTATAACAAGGATACATTAAATTCTTTGCTTATTGTTTGATCAAGTGTCAAAATAATTATTTGCACACAATATG